AGCTAGGCTGACGCCACGGCACTCACTCTAGCCAGGGCAACAGAGTGAGACTGTCTCAAAAAAAAAAAAAAAATTTTTGAAAGCTTTGATGATCAAAGTCTGAGTGTCTAGGTGTCCTTCATCACTGGAAGGCTCATTTCCAGACAGTCCTGGCCCACAGTGAGAAATGGGGGAAGGGGAGACCTCTCGGTGAGAAATTTTAAGAGCACCCAAAAGCCAAATTGGGATGGCATCACAGAGTGCCATAAGTGAGCTCTCAGTCAAGTCACTGATTCACATAGCTGCTATTGCTTGTTTTATTATTAATATCTGTAGTGTTTGGAATAGCATGATTTTAATTTTCTTGGAAGCAGTAAAGCAATGACAGATATATAGCATTAATAATTTGAATAGTAGAATTATAATTCATATAAGTATAATCAAAAGAGAATTTGTATGCCAGAATAACAACAAAAACCTATTTCGTTAGTAGTCAACGAAAAACATCGGGAAGAAAATTGAATCTAGGTTCTTCCTTAGAGACTTGTTGTAGGCAAGTAGCTTCTGATTTTTCATAGATGAATTTTTATTTCATGAGCACTATTTATGTATACACAACAAGAGGTATTTGCTACCGTACATACAGCTCCTTGCTCAGGTAAAATATAATCTAAAGCAATGTGATACGTTGCACAACTTCAGCCAATGAATCGATTGGTTTTTGTTGACCTATGATGGAGGCAGCTGTTTGACCAACCAGCAATTTTTCCTGAGGTTATAGGAAGATTTCTAATCATGTGTTCATGGAAAGTGGCACCCTATTAAGGCAAAAGCACTCTAAAATGCATGTTGCTATCTTCTTGATGGACAGGCAGGTAATTAGCAGGTTTCCCCAAAATAGAATCTCCATCTAAAACAGATTGGTCATCATGCCTAGAAAACAGTTTCAGGTAAGTAGTCCAGTGTTGGGTTTCTTCAGAGGTATCTATAGATAGAGAGGTGACCAAGTATTATAAGAGAGCTTCAATTTAGCATCACAGAGATCAGTCAACAATAGGTGGTATGGTTCCTAACTCCTAGAGGGGATCTTTTTTGATGGTATTTTCAATAAACATACTTTCCAGGTTGGAGGTAATGATCTTTGATGTCCACATGTCCTGGGGGTTCAATGTTAAAAGAATCTTTAATTAATTTAAGTTTTTTACTAAGAAGCTTTATAAAGCCTTGATAAAAATGAGGACTATCACCTCTAAGGTGATCTGACAATATGCTACTTAATCCAGGTGCATGGGCTTTTCTGTTGTCGTTTTAAAGGGAGAAAGCTGATGTTTTCCAAAGGGGAAAGAACATAAGATAAAGATACCGACAGAAGAGGCTTAGGCCAGAAAAGGTTAAAAGTTTCTGTAAACTTTGTCAATTGATTTTGTATTACCCCATTTGTATATTCCACCAGTCTGGAGGACTGAGGGTGGCACAATAGAAATGCTGAAAAATTGGCCATATGTTGCAAATAGAGTGAATTATTTGACCAGTGAAAGGAGTTTCTCAGTCTCTGTGAAGTACAGAAGGAAATCCCCAAAAAGGAATAGGAAAAGACTGAAAATGGTCATAGTTAAAGACACAATCAACAAAGAAATTTGGTCATTTTCTTTCTTTTTTTTTTTTTTTCTTCCAGCAGGTTACTGAAAAAGTGAACCAAAGTCTTTTATTATCTCTCATTAATACTTCATGAAAATCTTATTTAAATCTCAATCAGCTTTGACCACAGAAGATAAGATTTCTATACACTTTTTATAATCTCTTACAATTTTTCGATTCTCTTTCTTTCTTTAACTTTCTATACCTACTCAGATTATCTATTTCATATTTTTCTTCTTTTAATCTTTCAGTTGAATTCAGCTTTTAAATAACCTCCAAAATAGGCAAAGGTAATTTTTTCTTTTACCAGAAACCATATCCTTATATCTATTTTTTATAACTTTTCGCACCCAAAAAACACATCTTATTTTATTTATACACTCTGTATGTAGAATTGTTTGTCTTCTTTTCTCTAGTTTTAGTTACCATATGTTAGTAAGAATTTTAACTCTTAGTAACTTTAATTCATAGTGAAAACCTAAGAAGTAGGGAAGTTTATCTGTGACTCACATTCTAATAATTTATAAACATGCATTTTATAATTTTTAGAAGCATAGGATTTATACTGGAATAATTTTACAATGTGGAACAGGACATATTTACCAATAGAACTAAATATATTTTTTTCTCAGAAGTAATAACCCAAAACTATATAAGCTTAAACTCATATTTAATAATTAATGTTTTAGCATTATATCTTATTTGGAAATTATATATTCAATGCATATCCATCATTTAATTTATCTTAGTAAAATTCTAAGGGTATAGTTAACAAAAAGATTTGAAAAACCTTTTTAAAGTAAACTTATGAAATATTATTATAAGTTCATTTATAAATTTTTATTTCATTTATGTCTGTTTTATTCATTCTTAAAAATTATGTTTGTAAAATTTCATGAGACCTTAGACAAATCTAGCATCATTGCAGGTTTAGCTTTTTATTAACTATTTTTATATTACTTTGTTAGGCAAGTATCATAAAAGCAGTAAACTTAAAGTTAAGTACATATATCTTTTGCTGATAAGTCAGAAGACATAGTTGTTTATATTAAACTAACAATACTAACTAGTCATATTGACAGAAATATTTACTGAAGTCATGTGAACTGGAAAAATATTTGGGTTTATTTATTTAATATATGAGCACTCATTTACTTTTAAGTTAATTTGGTACCATGTAGACAATGTACAAACACATGAAGAGATGTATAGATATATGCAGACACAATTTATATGATAACTTACATATGTACACATGCATGCATCTAAAAGCCAAAGAGAATAAGGAGTTAAATATAAAGGAGAGTAGAACTTTAGACCTAGGAGGAACATGTCTACCCAGAAATCTTGGGGTTCCATGAGGGAAAAGCAGTATCCTGCCTGAAAAGGAGGAGTCTGTGGTTCCTTTTCTGTGTTTCTCAAGCGGCTCCCTGGCTGCTACTGATAGAAGTTTCCTTTAGGTCCCTTCACATGGCATCAAAGGTGGCAAGGGGAAAGAGAAACAGATAGAAGTATATAGAAGAATAAGTCCTAGAGAAACTAATTTGAGAAGACCTTGTGTTCCAAAAGGCCAATAAAGCTTTACGTTTTCCTTGGCAAAAATCATATCAGTAAGAGGAGAAACAGATAGAGGCATCACATATAGTTTATAGGTGTTTAAAAGAGAGGAGAAGCTTTTATTGAGAGAACATAGGCCTCAAATAAATACATTTGTACGTGTAGAATGTCTAAGTACTGGTTATAATTAAGTGAATTTATGACTATGGAGTTGTTAAAAATTTTATCATGTAAATAGCAAAGATATCTGTGTTTTGGCTTTTTCTTTCTGATATTGACACTAAGAAGGGGTTTTGTAGGTGGGGCTTATTTGTTTATGAGGACAGTCACTATTTAAAGCTGTTTGTCTTTGAGATACTTATTGAAGTGTTTCCTTTCTTTCTGAGTATATGGTTTCATTTAGCTAAAGAGAGAAGTCTAAACAAACAAGACAACAAGGAGTTTCTGTCGCATGATAAATATAAATCAAAGGTAGACCTAAACAAATGTTCAAACCAACCCAGATAAACATACATAAGACCCAAACCAAGAACTCCTTTATGGCATTAACCAAAGTCTCCACAGAGGTAGCAAAATGTCGCAGCCCTCCCAACATCCAGGCTCCTCCCGAGGACAGCTTAAAGAACGTTTGCCTAGCTGCAGGGAAATGCAAGCCATATTTTCTAAGGTCTCGGCTTCTTATCTGACCATGCACCCACAAATGCCAGAAGGAATATTAAAAGACAGTCAGTAAAACAGGAAAACCAAAGCTGTCTGTGGGGGAGAGAAAAGGTTACAAAAGGGTATTCCAAGATGTCAACAGTCATACAAATAATTCAGAACAAACAAATCAAATTAATTCTTATAAATGTTTCTTGCTTAAGCTAGAGGTATGCACTGAGAAAATAAATTTTGTGGGGAGTCTGAAGTTGTTATGTTTTCTTGGAAATTCAATCTTAGCTGGAGTACTGTTCAGCTAATTCATCTCCAAGGGACTGGCAAGGGTGTGGGAGAGGTTATTGTGTCCTTTGTAAATCCTTCGGCAAAGTCAGGCAGTTCGAGCACTCAGATGGTTTTCTGTGGGAGTTGCGGAAGAGCCCTCTATGAAAGTACTTTCAAATCTCACTTCACCTGGAGTCGCATTAAGAACTCTTCCCATGGCCGCTTTGTAAATATGTATTTTTCCTTCAGGAACTGTTGACATTCAGGGATGTGACCATAGAATTTTCTCCAGAAGAGTGGGCTTGCCTGGACCCTGCTCAGCGGAATTTGTATACGGATGTGATGTTGGAGACCTACAGAAACCTGTTCTCCCTGGGTGAGGATAACTTCAATACATGATTTCTATTCCACACTAAGGATTTCATATCCTTCCTTTGTTGAATGATTCTGGGAGTTTCTGCTTTGTATGAGTGAGTTTCAGATCCTGGTTTCCAAGGAAAACTTGGGGACGTGTTGGTATAGCAAAAAATCTTCAAGATGTTTTACCTTGACATTAATCTTACCCTTTCTTGAGCTGATCTGTGTCCTTCACTGTAGGTTAGTAGTAATTTGAGAAATTTAGTGGCAGAAAATATTGTTACACACACCTTAAGATCCAATTTCCACCATCAATTTTTGAGTCGCTAGTACTGGGTAATAGAGATGAGAACCCACGCATTTTAAATCCTTCCTAAATATTCTTAAGTTTCTGTCAGGACATGGTACCTTTTGATTAATTTTCTAAAATCTTCTATAATGTTCTTTCTTCTCTACTGAGCACAGCACTAGGTTGGTAATTAGAGAGTCCTAGCAAGAGTCATGTTGCTGTTTTCTAATAAAACAGGACTTGCTGTCTCTAAGCCAGACCTCATCACCTGTCTGGAGCAAAGGAAAGAGCCCTGGAAGGGGAAGGCACACGAGACAGTAGCCGAACACCCAGGTAGGTGGGAGTGAACAAAGCAGATGACACAGGTGAGAGGTCCAAAGGTCAAGGAGGAAGGCAGACCTTATAAATGGGATTTGGGAAGCTCTGATCCAGTGGAAATGCTTTCCGAGAAGGCCGGGTCTCTCTTGCTCTCACACGTGAGCATCTCTGGCCCGTGTGTTTAAGTTATCTGGGGACTTGACTTCCCTTTCAGTGATCTTCCTTCGCATTCACAGTGAGGTCAGAGTCCTCTTCATGGCTAATAAGGGACTGCAGGATCTGATGACTCTTCCATTGCTATTCAGAGCACGGGAATATGTGTGTATTTTTGAGAACTCGGTGTTAAAGCATTTCTTAATTTCCATTTTTGTATCATATCTGAAACATGTGAATGTCGTGGCGATACTGATATTTGGTTGAGAAATCCCAGAACATCACAAGCAGATGTTGTGTTTTCTGCTTTATGGTTTCCTATCCTATGGAAGTATTAAATGTCATTCTACAGAAATTCATACTCAGTAATATTATCGGACACTAAGTATCTCCCTAAGTATAATAAAATCTAGTGTTATTTTATTTCTAAATTCTATTTTTAGTGTGAACTGTGATTAATAGTAAACTCTATATGCCCAAATTTCTCAACTTTAAATAGTTTAAAGTATCTACTCTCTACATTTCTTAAATATACTGTCATTGGGCAGCTTAGAACATTGCTAAACATATATGAAACTTCTGCTTTTTACTTAATTTTTTTAATAACTAGCATTTTATAATTTTCTCTTGTTTAGTATGAAGCTTACTGACTGGGACCATGTTACTCATATATATGTGTGTGTATACATATGTTTGTGTATGTGACATGGACTTTCTTCACAAACGTTATATATCTATGTAATTATATATAATCTGATGACTTCATATGTGTATACATTGTGAAATGATTACTACAATCAAGTTAATGAACATATCTGACACTTCACAATAACATTTTTTTGGTAGTCAGATCACTTAAGGTCTACTGTCATACCAAATTTTAAGATAAAAACCATTATTGTTAGCTATAGTCACAATGCTATACATCAGGTCCAGAAAGCTTATTCATCTTATACCTGAACATTTGTACCCTTTGAACAACATCTCTCTGTGTTTCCCCACCTCAGGCCCCGGCAGCCACCTTCTTACTTTCTGTTTCTATGAGTTCAAGCTTTTTAGATTCCCCATATAAGGGAGATCAAGCAATGTTTGTCTTTCTGTACCTAGCTTATTTCATTAGCATAATGTCCTCCAGGTCCATCTATGTTTTTGAAATGGTTAAGTAATATTTTTATTAATAATGAAATAATTTTCCATTGTGTATATATACCATATTTGTCCATTCAGCATGCAAAAGCATTTAGGTTGTTTTCATTTGTTGGCAGTTGTGAGTAATGCTGCAACAAACATGGGAGTGCATATATTTATTCAAGGCACCGATTTTATTTCCTTTGGTTATACACGTGTAAGTGGAATTGCTGAATTATCTGGTAGTTCTACTTTTGTTATTTTTTAAAGACCCTCCATACTTGTTTTCATGATGAATCTACCAATTTACAACTCACCAACACTGTACAGGATTTCTTTTTCTTTATGTCCTTGTCAAAACTTGTTATCTTGTCTTTTTGATATTAGCCATCCTAGCTCATATGGATGAAGTGATACCTCATCATGGTTTTGGTTTGTAATTCTCTGATGATTGGTGATGTTGAGCACCTTTTCATATGCCTGTTGGCCACTTGTATGTCTTCATTGGGAAAATATCTGTTCAGTCTTATGCCTGTTTTTCAGTTGGTTGTTATATTCGTTATTGTGTTTTTGCCTTTGATTTATATGAGTTTCTTGCATAATTTGGATAGTAACCTCTTATCAGATATGGTTTGTGAATGTTTTCTCACATCCTATAAGTATTTTATTTTTTCTTTGCTGTGCACAAGCTTTTTAGTTTGGTGCATTCTAACTTGTTTATATTTGCTTTTGTTGTCATACTTTTGGTATCATATTCAAAAATCCATTACCAACATCAATATCAAGATTTTTCATGTTTTCTTTTAATGTTTTTAAGGTTTCATGTCTTACGTAAGTCTTTATTTTGAGTTAATTTGGGGGGATGGTGTAAGAAAAATGGTCTAATATTCTTTTTCTTGTGGATATCCAGTTTCCTAGCACCATTTATTGAAGAAACTACATTCTGCATTGTGTATTCTTGTTGTCTCTCTCAAAGATTAGTTGACCTTGTAAGCCATGGGTTGATTTCTGGCCACTCTATTCTGTTCCATTGGTTGTTGTGTCATTTCTAATGTACATACTATTCTGTTTTTATTACTATATTTTTGGAATATAGTTTGAAATCAGAAAGAATGATGCTCCCAGCTTTGTTGTTCCTCAAAATTACTTTGGTTATTGAAAGTCTACTGTAGTTCCATAGAAAATTTAGAATTGTGCTTTTTACTTTTGTGAAAAATGCTGTCAGAATTTTGATAGGGAGTTCATTGAATCTATAGATCACTTTAGAGTATATGACACTTTGACAGTATTTATTCTTTCAGTTCGTACACATGGTATATTCTACATTTATTTGTGTCTCCTATTTCTCTCATCAATATCTTAGATTTCTCGGGGTAAAGTTTTTTCACCTCCTTGGTTAAATTTTTTGCTGAAAAATTAATATTTTGATATTATAAATGAGATTATTTTCTTTATTGTTAATGTATGAATTCCCTGATATGTGTATGTTAATTTAATGAGTGCATATTTTAGTTTAAACGGTTTTTTGGTGTACTGTTTATGGTTTTCTATATATAAGATCATGTCATCTACAAACAGTGACAGTTTTACTTCTATTTGGACAGTTTTTTTCTCGTTTTCTGCCTAGGATTTCCAATACTATGTCAAAATAGAGGTATTGACTATGGGCATAATATAAATTTGCATTGGTATCTGCATTCGAAGGAGCAAGCACCTCTTTTAGTTTTTATAAGCCACTTTCATCAGATAAAGGTCTTTTCTTGCGTACCCAGGCTGATGGGATCTCCTCTGGGTTGACAGATAAGAGGGTTTGGAGCTGGGTAACAATTCTGCTGCTGGATGTGCAGTGAGGTCTGCCTTTAGTGTGGGGCTGTTACCAGGAGCTTGGGTAGTTGTGAATCCTGTCTTATTCATAAGCAGAGGGATTGCCTTCAGGACATTGATCTGTAGGGGAGGCACCTGCAGTTGGGTCTGCATAGGGAAGGCCTGCTGTCAGGTGTATGGATGAGTGTGGCTCCCTGAGTATGTGGGAGGTTTTCCCCACGTCACTGTGTGGGTCCTTGGGTGGGCAGGACTGGCCAAGGGCTGTGTCTAAGAGGGATGGAACTGGGTCACAGAACTGCTTCAGAGACCACAGTGAGAACTGTGGTCTGTCTCCGCTACCACAACTAGGCACCTCTCCTTAGGTCTCTGGATAGGCAGGACCACTCCCAGATAATGACTGGGAGAAGTTGGAGATGCCTGCTTAGTCACTTCAGATTTCTCAGTGGGACCAAGCTGAGTGGGCCAGTTCCTGGACTGTAGCCAAGACGAGGGGTCCACAAGTTTGCCACATGAATTAGGCCCTGTCTTCGTAAAACAGACCTCTTTGATCTAGGGCTTTAACGGGGTTTTACAACCTCCTCTCTGGGTCCCAAAGCTCTTATAAAAGTACTTTGATTAGATGGGGTGTCAGTATGTCACCCAGGATGGTCTCAGACTGCTGGACTGAAGTGGTCTTCTCACCCCGGCCTCTTAGTAGCTGAGATTAGAGGTGTGAGCCACCTCTAATCTGGGCTGTCGTAAAGGCACTTTTGTCATGGGTGGCTGCAAAATGTTTGTTGCTGTGGGGAGACACACAAGCAGGTCGGGACTTCCTATTCCACCATCTTGCTGATTGCACTCTCTGTATATTTACATTTTCTATTTTGTTCTGTATTAAATTTTCTATAATTTTAGATTTGAATATTTAGAACAAGATGCTAGAATTTCACATTATGCAAGAAGTAAATTAGGCATCCCATATTTACTAAAAGGTTTACATGAAAATTTGAGTTTACTGCAGACAGGCAAAAAGGAATCATTAGAATTATCATCCACTTTTCTCAACCTATATCTAAATTATAACTTTCCCCGAATGTGTATATTACATAGCAGTACCTCTCATCATATTTTACAAAATTTATATTTTTACCTCAATTGTGAAATACAGGTTTTCTTTGCTTCCAAAGGCTGAATTGTAGCCTTTTCAGTTTTTATAAGAGTAGCATCAGTATAGTAATAACATAATAAAAATTATCTTTAGTGTTCTTAATATGCTCATTCTTTAAAATTATCAGATTAGAGCCTTTTATTAATGATTGTAATACATTTTCTGTGAAATTTGCTGGTTTCCATCGAACACCAGTGATTCAGAATACCTCGTCTGTGTGGGTTCACAGTCACAGCTGAACACCGTAGCTATCTAACAAAAAGCTTTTTAATGGTACAGCAATGTTGCATACGGGATTTTATGTCTAAACATTTCTTTTATTCTTGTTTTGCAATTCCATGATACTGTTTCTTTTTTAGGATATGTTCCTTGACATCAGTTTATTATGGTTTTAGTTTTACCTGTGCATTATTATTTTGAAGGAAATTACAACACTAAGTCAGATGTGTGGTTCAATTAATGTATGTGTCAGCCACATGTATATTAAAAATTATATATGTGTGTGTGTCTCTGTAAATGTCACCCCAAGTTTGTAGATGGCTTATCTTGTGTATTTCTTTTCCTGGCTGATTTTCAATGCTTGTTTTGTCCAGTGATGGAATAGTGATGGAAATAGCCTTAAATTTACCAGTATTTATTGATGAATCTGTATTATCTTTGTGAGAGGGAACACTTCTGTGATTTGAAGGTGATTTTTGAAAAGCTTTACAACTATCTAATTTAGTTATCCTTTTAAAAAAAACTTAATTGTGGTGAAAACACG